GACAGCCATTTTTCACTATGAACCAAACATTTAGAAAACCCCACCTACCTGTTTCCTTCCTAGAATGTAAATGTTTTATGACACTCTAAACGGTAGCTTCACTTTCGTGAGAAAAAAAATTAGCAAATAAAAAAAATAATATAGCGTATACAATTGTGACTCAAGTCATATTGTAATTGAATGTCATAAAAAGTACCTTTCCTTTTCAATCTGCAGCACTGTAATTTTTTTTTAAAATGCAATATGGCTACCTGGAGGTGTTCTGTACACAGATGGTATAAATGTAATTTCCTATTTGTGTGAATGACTTACTGATTTTCCTAGAAGTCTTAACTAGGATACAAGTCAGGTTTTTTACATCCCCTGCAACAAAATGTCATTTTTGCTGATCTACAGTACTTCCAAAGGGAAATCACATCTAAGGGGATGCAGACCCTGTCAATTTTCTCTTTAGAGTCCTGCAGGTGCAGCAGCTAATTGATAATTATAAAATCACTCCCATACAGGTTCACTCTGCACATGGACACAGACAAACAAACAGCTGTTTCTTCAGAATAACAAAAGGTAGGATTCTGCAACAAAGTTTGTTAAAACCCCTGAAATGTACATAGATTGCCCAGAGGGGAATGTTTTTTCTCAACAAAAGCAGAGTTACTCTTTAAACTTTTTCCTTACACTTGAAGCAGCCAATGTGCCTCCTGAGTTCAGACACCAAAAACTGTTGTCTGTGCTCCTCCCAGTTGTGTATTTAGGTTTCGTGCTGCTCTAGGCAACACAAAAATCATCCCCCCCCACGGAGAGAGCCTGACATTGACCAACAACACCCCAGCCTCCACGCCCACCCGAAAGAGCCTTCCACTACCACCACCCCCCATACACTGGGAACCCCCACCCCGACAAGAGAGAAGACACTCACCTTCACAGCTCTGGACATCCCTGGAAACAAGAGTCAGGCTCTGCATACACCATCAAGCAGCTCGCAGCCTCTCTCAGATCCCACCTGGCCCCCATGCTGCGCGTGTCCCTTCTTTCATCCCTTCTTTCGCGGGGGGCGGCACTGCCCCCCTAAAAAATGCCGCTGCCCCCCTGAAAAATGCCTCCCTAGGCAAATGCCTTGTTTGCCTTGTGGTAAATACGCCCCTGGCTCTGTCCCTCTGCTACATCATGCTGAATGACAGAGCACCTTAAATAGAGAAGGATAAAGAAGCTACAAAAGAAACAGAGGGATGAACCGTTTTACCTGCTTCACAGGATCAAAATGCCTGTATGCCGGAATGACAGTTAGGGATGAGGACAGAAAAAGAGTTTGAAAAGAAAAATTTGTAGATTGAGTTAAGATTTTAATAGGATTATGTGGCAATTTCAGCTTCTAGGGCCAGATTCTGCATCTGGAATCCCAGGTGTTATGATCAGCGTTGGCATCCCAGCCTTTATAACAGAGATTGGCTGAAAACAACCGTGCTCTTCTATGCTGTAAGCTTGTATTCACAGGTACCAACACACCCAACGGCTATCTGCGGCTAAGAACAGTTGTCCACCCCTGAACATAGATAGATTGCATCTGGGTCCGATCATAACACCTGGGATTCCAGCCACAGGTATCCACAGGGTACTTGCAGCAGGAGTCTGCAGTGTGCCATTTTTTGCCCATGTGAATGAGACACATTTTCAAACATGGCAATAACCATGTTCCAAAATTAAAAAAAAAAAAAAAAAAAAAAAAGGATGAAGCACAATATTACTAGACATATCTGAGGCACCACACCTGTCTTCTGATTGATCAACAAGAACACAATGTTGTGTCAACGTACTAGGTAACAATTAACTGAGGACCCAGTGCAGGGATAGGAAACTACTATTGAATTTTATTTAAAGGTTTATTTGTTGTTCGCACAAATAGGGTGCGACTTGTCATGCGATTTGGATGACAAGTCGCAGTGTGAACCAGGGCTTAAAGTGGATTCCAGAATTTCCCTAACAAAGCTTAAACCTCCTCCCACCCCCCTTCTAACTCCTATTCTAACTACCCTGTCAAAGGAAGATGTGTACTTTTATCTCCTAGATTGTAAGCTTTAACAAGCCGGGCCCTCTGTTTCCTCTTGTACCAAATTGTATTGTCTACCTTCATTTTGTAAAGTGCTGCGCAAACTGTTGGCGCTATATAAATCCTGTATAATAATAATAATATTCTGAGGGTGTTCAAGACTGGTCACATGATCTTCCCAGTAGGGGAGAGGAGAGATTTCCTACAATGGCTGCTATGACTGCGCGGTGACGTCACCCATAGGTGAGAACAAAGGACGTCCGATCGGCTGCACTCCAAACAATCCACTTTATTGAACCAAGATAAAACCAATATAGACAGTGTAAATACAGTGGGGGACTGGGAGGTAAACCCGTTTCATGCTAAAGACAGCGCTATTCATTACCCAGTGGACCCATGTTCAAAGTGTTGGTTTTAAGCAACAGCTGTTCCTTATAATCAACACTGGTTTAAAGGTAAAGACAGTTCTGCAACTAACAATTTTAACATCCCCAAAGTGGTAATCTTTTTTGATTATTTTCTGTGTCGATGCCCGTTACATCGCCGTATTATCCTTCACAGGCCTTCACAGCCGGGTGCCCACTGTGCATGTGCGTGAAGCACTGTGCTTTGTGAATGGCCCCGTAGTCTTCTGGGACCTGTCACGTGCCCCAGAAGACTACGGGGAGGGAGGGGGGGCTGGGGGTGGACAACTTCCGCTTCTGATTGCCTAGGTGATTGCAGCGGAAGAGGGAGCGGGTACCTGTCACGTACGGGTACCCACTCCCCAAAGGTGCCAATTCTTAATGGGGAGCAGGGGACAAAGACTTAAGGCAGAACTTCCCTTTTTGGGTGGAGCTCCGCTTTAAACTCTGTTGCTGAATCTTCAGTAAAGTCAACTGTTTTAAGCCTGGTCTGAAGTCATTGACAGGGGTGCATGGGGGTAAATGGCATAGCAAAAGAACAGGGCCTGTAAAGCACAACGGGGTACAGAAGCAAGGCCACTCAGCAGAAGGTGTGAAAAGGAAGGCAGTTGCTTTGGGTAACCAAGTATTGGTGGAAAGTGAAAAGCCTGTCCTGAAGCGTGGTAACTGGTGTGGCGACGGGTTAACTGTAGCAAGGGGGTTGGTGCTCTGACTCCCTCCCCAGCGGTTGGTTCCCTGAAAGTATTGGGGCAGAGCCCACACTACGGAGACCCATAGCCTGGCTGCATGATATGAGAGAGCAGCAAGAGTTAATCAAGTGCATGCATGAGGTCCACGCTATGTGCATGGCGGGACTCCATTCTGTAACTGGGATGGAGGTTACATAGGTACGCTGGACAGATGGAGAGGGCATAGGCTCAGCAGTGTCCCATTTACTTGCAACTATTCACAGACAAGGTGAGTAGCAACACATGACAGCATTTTTCACAGAGTCACTCTGTACATTTAACTACTGCACACGGTGTACAGCTCCTCTCTAAGCTGGGGTACTACCATAATGTTGATGTCACATGAACACAGTCCCTCCTGGTTTTGGGCATTGATGAACCTGTGAACATGCAAAATGGCCAGCTTACATTTTGTTTATTCAACCCCCAAATGTTTCTTGGAAAATCAAGGGTTTGAGAGCCATTATTCTGTTTGCAAACCCTTCACAGGTATACCAGGAACCTATGAAAAATACTTTGTGACTTGGTCAACAGGTACATGCAGAACAAGTAAAGCTCAGAAAATAATGCTAAATCTGGGTGGAAGACCAACCAGGGTGAAGAAGATTAGGCTTCAATAGATTAGGGTAAAATACATATAACTCCCAACTTCTGAGATGAAAATGAGGGACATGCCCCTGACATGCTCTCAGTTATGGGGCCCATGAAGAATTAACACATGAAAACAGCCAATTATTTTTTCCCCTTTTATACTGGCTTTTCAAAATAAAAAAATGCAGTATTTAGAGGTTGCATGAAAGATTATTGTAGTAAAACATCATTTAGATTATTTAAATAGACTTTTTTCAGTGTTCTATAGATCAAACCAAAAGGATGGACAAATGTGAGACAAAGAGGGTCAAAGAAATTTGGTTTCAAAAGAGTTACTGGCTCTCCAAATAAGCAACAGTGGAGCGCTATGAAGAGCGATGGGCAAATCTACCCAGGTTCAATTGGCCAAAGGTTCATCTTGTTCAAAATTCAGTGAATCCAAACAAAGAAGCAAATCCCACTGAAGTTTCTGGGGTGAATCTTTTAAGATTCTGGAATTCTTAGGCATAAAAGCAAGCTACTGTGATGAAAATGCATTGGAAGTTGGACACTGCCATGGGGGGCATGTACCAATGCAACCAAACTTAAAAAAGAACACTCTGCAGCAGGAAGAGGGTCTTTGTTAGTGGCTTTGAGGGCAACATTGAAAGTACACAGATCCTTTAACCTCCCTAGCGGTCTGATTATGTCCGTATTTCTGTGCTCAAAGCGGTACATTTTTTTGCATGGAAATATGTATTTTTTTTATTGTAGGCCTGTAATTTTTAGGAATAACTCACTGAAATCTGTCCGAACAAGAGTCTAGTAAACATTCCAGGTAGGATAAAACTTGAAACACGAAATCATAAATTATAATTTAATAAATAATCATAAAAAATTATTATAATAATAATACATTTAATTCAATAATATAATCAAACCAAAAACATTTGAAATATAGCGCCAAGTTCGCACATCACTGAGCAAAGTCGCAAAATCGTTTTCAGTGTCTGATGACGAATTTCCCCACGAATCATTATCACTCAATTCTGCAAGTGGTTCTGATGTACTATCGCTGTTCTCTAGCTGGTCTAAAACTGCTTTTGACCTAAAGGGACACTTTTTGGACGCCATGGACTATTCTAAGTTTCCAGGCAGAAAGAACAGTAAAAATGCAGGCGGGGCACAGGACAAAGCACTTGGGACAAAATGTATGTGAAATGGTTTGATACAGTAATGTTTTACTATGTGATTTTAGTGATTTAATGAATGTCACTTTTTGTCATTTTCAAATTTCCCGCCGTTCCATCCCCCGTACATCCTGACGCTCGCAGGGGACGGAACCCAGATGACAGATGCCGGCATCCGCCGGATTACATTGCCGGGGACACTGCAGGAGGGACATCGCGGGAGCACAGGACAAGGTAAGTGATCGAGGGATCCCGGAGCAGCGCCGCAGGGTAATCCCGGGTGTAGCTCGCAGTTACCGCTCTTGGTACTGAAACTTTACCCCGAGCTACACTCGGGAATACCGCCAGGGAGGTTACATAACATGCTTTGGGGGATGCCTTAGAGCAGTACTTGTTATGGAACAGTACAAAATTTAGAAACAGTCTCAGCCACAACATACACTGAATGCACATATTTGGCTTTGGAATAGCTTTTTTGTCTTTTACATAGTTTGGCTTACATAGAGTACAGTAGCAGCACCCCAATCTGGTCCACTTTAGTTTGAAAAAAAAGACTTTATTTCCGGTAACTTTAGCTGCAAAACATTTTTTTCATCCAACAGTAATAGACCACTTTGACCGTCAGATAGAAATTGGTCAGTAGTTAGTAGTCCTGTTCTCACCAATGCACTACTGTTGAGCAGTGGACTAATTTCTGTTAAGCTCTCATTTAGAATTAAAGCGGTATTAAACCCAGAACAAAAAATTTAATATATTGCAGCTTACCAATCATTAGATGTGGTGGCTGCAATTGTTTTCTTTTTTCTCCCTTTTGTTTTCACCTGGTGATCTGGCGAGTAACACACCTCTGGTATCACAGTACTCCCACTTTGGATGAAGGGGCACAGGGGTACCTTTGGACAACAGTATTGTCAGTCTGGTGGGAAGAGATTGTTAGATGTGCGAGAAGATATAGGTACACTAAAGCCAAACCTCAGCTCACATTGCAGTTACACAAGCAGTTACTATGCAGTTGCGTTAAAGATTGCACATGAATAAAAAAAAGCTGGTGATTGCAAGCACCCTTGTCAGTGGTAAATGGTTTTTCTCAACAGGCTAGCTGCTACATTTTCAGGAGAGCTTGTTCTGTTGAAAAACAAATTTACTGGCTGGATCAGCAGGTTAAAATAAAGGAACGAAAGCCTAAAAAAGAAAACTAATGCAGATGTAGATGTCTTAGATGTCTTAGATGTAAGCTGCAATATAAAAAATATTTAGTTTTGGGCTTAATCATACCTAACAGCTTTTTGAGATGGAAAAGAGGGATATGTATCAGCAAAAATATTTAATAAGACACACACCCCATGCCACGCCCCCTTAAAGGAGAAATATACAAAAAAGCTCTTAGTTAAACCCACAAGTGCTTTTTTTTTAACCACTGCTGTTCTTCTATACTGGCTTTTGAAATTTACAAATGCAGAAATTAGGAATTTGGATGAAAAATGTAGCACTATGAAACACTTTTTGAAAGATAAATAGTGCATTATATATACAACTATATAGATCAGACCAAAATGTGTGACACATGAGGAGGACAGAGGGACTTTGTTCCAAATCAGGGACAGTCCCTCGAAATCACGGAGAGTTGGGAGCTATGGCTTATTACTGCTTTGAGAGATTGCAGATGATACAACTATAAAAATGAGCAGCTGCGGGACATGTTTAATGAGGAAGAATTGGACAAAATGTACTAGCGAGAAAGAGTGCAGACTGATGTTTTACTACACAAATTAAGATACTTCAGACGAAACACCAGAGTAAATTTGGCCAGCAGCAAGATAGATTTAATCAGGAATAATAGGCTAAAATCTGCTAGAGACATAGGGGGAGATTTACTAAAACTGGAGCATTCAGAATCTGGGGAGGTGGTGCATGACAGCCATTCAGCTTCAAACTTCAGCCTGTTCAGTTAAGCTTTGAAAATAGAACCTGGAAGCTGACTGGTTTCTATGCAGAGCTGCATCAGATTTTGCACACATCAGTTTAAGTAAACCTCCCCCACAAAGTACAGGCAGGTGTTTTTATACAGGAATTAACAGACTGCGGATGATACAGTAGTGTAAAATTGGTCAGCAGCAGGGCAATATTTAATGAGCAAGGCTAGGCCTAAATTTACTAGAGTACTAGTACTAAGTACTAAGCACACTTAATACACAAGGCCTTTATCACTTTTTTGCTGCAGGCCAACCTTCAAGGCATAATGCTCTCATTATGAATCACAACACTCTGAATATTATCACCCAGCCTCTCAACCAGGGTGCCCAGGCACCCTGGGGTGCCTTGAGGTTTCTTCAAGGGTGCCTTGGCATAATTTCTAAAAATTGCCCAAAATTTGGATACAAGCCAGCGGGTGGAACAAGCCTGCCTTTTAGTTACTCAAACCACAGGATTTCATTGTGCACTATTACGACCTTCTAGCCACCAGCGTCCTGACAACCAATGATATCATCAATTGATAAGGAGGATGCAAGCTGCCTGCACAGCGCCCTAGTTTGACCCTCCCCTGCTCCTCTCCATCAGTGCTGGGGTCACATTAGCTCAGTGATCGAGAAAAACTGAGGAAGAAGAGAAACATTGGAATACTAGTCAGTACCATTGTGCAAAAGTGTATTTGCTTTGGAAGAATAACTCACCTCTAATGTTGGGTGTCCTACATGTGTGGATGTTGATGCGTTATATAAAACTATTAGAATAGTTTTCACATTTTAGAATGGGGTGCCTCAAGACTGTCCATAATTTTAAAGGGTGCCTTGGGACTGTCCATAATTTTAAAGGGTGCCTTGGGACTGTCCATAATTTTAAAGTGTGCCTTGGGACTGTCCATAATTTTAAAGGGTGCCTCGGGACTGTCCATAATTTTAAAGGGTGCCTCGGGACTGTCCATAATTTTAAAGGGTGCCTTGGGACTGTCCATGATTTTAAAGGGTGCCTCGGGACTGTCCATGATTTTAAAGGGTGCCTTGGGACTGTCCATAATTTTAAAGGGTGCCTTGACTGAAAAAAGGTTGAGAAACACTGTTATAACCTAAAACATCTGTAGGAGAATATTATAATGCTTCCTAGCAACACTTCAAACCAAAAGCCGATTATCACACTTCTTGCAAGTATAATAAAAGCATGACTGCATTTTTCAATTGTTGCAGAACTTCTACCTGCACTTATGCGGCTAATTTACTTTTATTTATGTCTCCATATCAGCTGCCGATTTATAGGGACAGCGGGCAATAAAATGTCAACAGAGAGCTGATTGGATTGAAGATACTAGAGACTGGTGTCAGAATGTCTGTGTTTTGTAGGGGAGCCCTAGGGCCTGGGAAATGAGGTTTTAGGAGAGGATATATGCACATTGTGGGAGATGGGGGCATGTGGTTTTAGAGGCTGCAGGCCAAGCTACCTGTCCAGGCAGGATCTTCCATTACAGCCTCTATCTGGGCTGTATTATAAACACCTCTGCCCAAAGGTGCTACACTCACATTATCTCTCCTTCTTTATCCTAAACAGACTAGTGCTGCCCAAAAATAATCTTTGAAGCTCTTCAGAAAAATGTCAGGAATATGGAATCATTAGAGGTGAAGCCTGTAATGTGAATCAGTGTCTGCATACATACCTGTACACGTTCTGAGATGAGAAAAAGGGTATGCAGGCAAACGATACAAGTGCTGCTCCCCCAGACCATGAAAAATGAATATGCTGAAATAACTGGTTAAATGTCAAGTGTTTTTTTCACCACTTCTTTTCCATTATGCTGGCTTTTCATAATAAAAAAATGCAATAATTTAGGATAACTCTTTAATGTAGCAGAGACATACTACTACTGGGGTAGATTTACTAACACTGGTGCACTCAGAATCTGGTGCAGCTGTGCATGGAAGCCAATCAGCTTCAACTTGTTCAATTAACCACTTGCCCTCCAGAGGATTTACCCCCCCCCGCCCCCTTCCTGACCAGGCCATTTTTTGCGATATGGCGCTGCTTTACTTTAAATGACAATTGCGCGGTTATGCAACGCTGCACCCAAATGAAAGTTATGGTCTTTTTTTCCCCACAAATAGAGCTTTCTTTTGGAGGTATTTTATTGCCTCTGCGTTTTTTATTTTTTACGCTCTAAAAAAAAAAAACTGACAATTTTGAGGAAATAACAATATTTTTTTACTTTTTAACCGGTTCCCTATGGACGTCCTCCCAGAACACACCCCCTGCGCACCCCCAACGCCGCCGGTGATCGCTGTGTCCTATGGACAAAGCTGATCATGTGATACAGTAAACGGCCAATCACAGCGGCCTTTTACCACGAGGTCAGCTGTGTCCAATAACACAGATCTCCAGGTAAATACAGTTGCCGGTTATCGGCTGCACTTTCCTCACGCTGTCACAGCGTGAGGAAAGTACTGCCGATAACCGGCAATTGTCAGAGAAGGGATCAGCACTGATCATCAGTGCCCTGATGATCAGTGCCCAGCAGTGCTGCCCAACTCTGCCATCCACCTGTGCCCATCAGTTCCGCCAACCTGTACCCATCAGTGCCACCCACCTGTGCCCTGCAGTGCCACCCACCTGTGCCTAGCAGTGCCACCCACCTGTGCTCAGCAGTGCCTCCCATCAGTGCTGCCCAGCAGTGCCACCCATCAGTGTCCAGCAGTGCCGACAGTCAGTGCCACCCATTAGTGCCCATCGGTGCTGCCAATCAGTTGTGCCTATCAGTGCAGCATCATCAGTGCCAGCTCATTAGTGGCAGCTATAAATGCCGCCTATCAGTGCCTCTTATCGGTGCCCATCAGTGCAGCCTCATCAACGCACATCAGTGAAGGAGAAAAATTACCTGTTTGCAAAATTTTATAATAGAAACAAAGAAAAACTTTTTTTCAAATTTTTTTGCTCTTTTTTTGTTTCTAGCGCAAAAAATAAAAACACCCAGTGGCGATTAAATACCACCAAAAGAAAGCTCTATTTGTGTGAAAAAAATGATAAAAAGTGTATATGGGTATAGTGTTGTCAAAGTGTGACAGCACTGAAAGCTGAAAATTCATCTGGGCAGGAAGGGGGTATAAGTGCCCAGTAGGCAAGTGGCTAAACATGTTTAAAAAAAAAAAAAATGTAATCATAAATTTAGGTCAAAATGTATTCTGCTACATGTCTTTGTTAAAACAAAATCCCAATACGTGTAAATTATTTGGTATACGTGAAAGTTATAGCATCTACAAATGGCAGTATAAATGCTGGAATTTTTTTTTTTATACTAGTAATGGCGGCGATCAACAACTTATAGCGGGAATGTGGCGGGCATTCTGACACTGGGAGGGAACTGACTTGGTGTCACTGACATCCCCAGTGACACCAATACAGTGATCAGTGCTAATAAAAAGCACTGACACTGTACTAATGACACTGGGCAGGAAGGGGTTAACATCTGGGGCAATCAAAGGGTTAACTGTGTGCGTGCTTTACTGTGTAAGCACATTGCTTTGTATTGCTCTGCTCTGCTATGGTGGCACTGACTGCTATGCCATACATCAGTGTGTGATCATCCCTGTTCAACAGAAGTTTATCGCTTGATCAGCTTCTGTTAAAAGGATATGTTGGAAAATTTTACTCAATCAGCAGCTGCAGCCAATCGGGGATTCCTTCGGCAGGGAGGATTCCTCCATCTACCTTGTTTGTTGGATGGAGGAATCTGTTATTTATTTCATTTAGCCATGAAAACTAACCATGCATGTCCAGCATTAGATGCACCAGACGTTTTAGATGGACGTGACAAATCGAAGCTAAACTCCAACTAACACTTTTCTAAGCAGTTACATGCACAGTTTGTGATGAGAGGACTGAAGGGGGCTAACTCTAATGTGATAGGAGCTGACTTTATTGGTAAGGAGTAGACTTTATTTTGAAGGGGGGGCTCAAATACGGTTGGGGGGGGGGCTCTGACTCAACGAGGGCTAACTTTGATATAGCAGGAGCTGACTCTGATGTTAATGGAGGGAAAATCCAATGTGAAAGTTATATTCTGATGTGAGATAGGGCTGCCTCTCATGTAATGGCATTACTGTGATGTGAAGGGGGGACTCTGTTGTAAATGGGAGAATCAGGTGTGACAGAGGGGATACTAATGTGATGGGATGACTGATGTGTAATGGAGGACTCTGATGTGAAAGGAGGAATGAGATGTGAAGAGGGAATTTGGATGTAATAGAGGGGTTACTGATGTGTAATGGGGGACTCTGATGTGAAAGGAGGAATGAGATGTGAAGGGAGAACTTGGATGTAATAGAAGGGTGACTGATGAGTAATGGGGGACTCTGATGTGAAAGGAGGAATGAGATGTGAAGGGGGAATTTGGATGTAATAGAGGGGTGACTGATGTGTAATGGGGGATGTAGCAATCGTGCACACAGAGATGGATGCAAACCTCTATTTTGGCAAAGGCCTCCATCTTCTATCATTCTCTACTCCCAAATTAGCTTCCCGCATCCCCCCTCCCTCTCTGTTGAGTGACACGTGGTCCCTGGATGCTGAGTTCAAAAAGGCATCAAGGCCCAGCGGCAGAGCTCATGACTATAAACCTCAATTAGCCTGGCTCTCATATGTCTGTGAGACTCTGCTTGGAAAAGGATTGTAAAACCATAAACCAAGTCCTTCACTGAGCTCAAAGACATTCCAGGTAGTCGTAAACCAGACTTACATTTAAAAACCCAGTTTTCCATATAATTTTATATCTCCAAATAGGAAATAATTACACAAACATGGAGCACATATTCGGATGGCTCACTTTAATACAAATCGCCTGATATATTACACCCCCTAGCTGACAGCTCCAGGAGAGCAGAAAATGACATCTCCTAAACCAGCAATGGGCAAACTACGGCCCGCGGGCCGTATACGGCCCGGCGGACCTTTTAATCCGGCCCGCGAGATCGCCGATCGGCTGCTAATGTTGGAAACTGGCACATGCGCAGATACGTCGAGGAGGACAGATCCTCATAGGAGACAGATTTTCATGCTACACCGGAATGGCGCGAGAACACGGCGAGAGGAACGCGCGGAGCAAAGGTAAGTGAATTGACACAGGGGGGACTTACTATAGGGGGGATGAATTACTATAGGGGGGATGAATTACTATATGGGGGATGAATTACTATAGGGGGGATGAATTACTATATGGGGGATTAATTACTATGGGGGATGAATTACTATGTGGGGGATGAATTACTATGTGGGGGATGAATTACTATATGGGGGATGAATTACTACATGGGGGATGAATTACTATGGGGGATGAATTACTATATGGGGGATGAATTACTATAGGGGGGATGAATTACTATAGGGGGGATGAATTACTATATGGGGGATGAATTACTATATGGGGGATGAATTACTATATGGGGGATGAATTACTATGGGGGATGAATTACTATATGGGGGATGAATTACTATGGGGGATGAATTACTATATGAAGGATGAATTACTATATGGGGGATGAATTACTATATGGGGGATGAATTACTATGGGGGATGAATTACTATATGAGGGATGAATTACTATATGGGGGATGAATTACTATAGGGGGATGAATTACTATATGGGGATGAATTACTATGGGGGACGAATTACTATATGGGGGATGAATTACTATAGGGGGGATGAATTACTATATGGGGGATGAATTACTATAGGGGGGATGAATTACTATATGGGGGATGAATTACTATGGGGGATGAATTACTATATGGGGGATGAATTACTATGGGGGATGAATTACTATGGGGGATGAATTACTATAGGGGGGATGAATTACTATATGGGGGATGAATTACTATGGGGGATGAATTACTATATGGGGGATGAATTACTATGGGGGATGAATTACTATATGGGGGATGAATTACTATGGGGGATGAATTACTATATGGGGGATTAATTACTATGGGGGATGAATTACTATGGGGGATGAATTACTATATGGGGGATTAATTACTATATGGGGGATTAATTACTATGCTTACTATGGGGGAATATTACTATACTTACTATGGATGACACATACACATCATTCATCTACTCTTGGTCCGGCCCCCGGGTCCAATATATGAACCCATTGCGGCCCTCAAGTCAAAAAGTTTGCCCACCCCTGTCCTAAACCGTCCCAGCAGGTATGTCATATTTCATATCTAGACGTTCAGTAGATGATTCTCTGCATTAATCTACCCGTGGGTGGAATGTTAACTGTACCTAGGAAAAGGTATTGACCATAGTATAATTTGGGAGGGCTTTGGTCAGAGCCTGAGCTCCCCGCCTACAACTCCCTCCCCAAATGAGGCGATTGGTTCTCTGCTTCAGGGAGACACCCTGCTGAGATCCTAGAAAAAGGCTGTTATGCTTGGAGTTAGAGAGAGCTAATCTGAGCTGAGCTAAGTTGAAGATTCTCCCTTGTAACATCAGAACCAACTTTGGGAGACGGACCTTTTGCGCTGAAACTTGAAAGCTGCTTAACAACTAGCCTACTGGGCACTTATACCCCCTTCCTGCCCAGGCCAATTTCCAGCTTTCAGCGCTGTCACACTTTGAATGACAATTGTGCGATCATGCAACACTGTACCCATATGACATTTTTATCATTTTTTTGTATCATATAGAGCTTTCTTTTGGTGGTATTTAATCACCTCTGGTTTTTTATTTTTCTTAAACAAACCAAAAACCACTGAAAAGTTTGAAAAATAAATTTTTTTCTTAGTTTTTGTTATAAAATTTTGAAAATAAGTGATTTTTCTTCTTCACTGATGTGCACTAATGAGGCTGCAGTGATGGGCACTGATAGGCTGCACTTATGGACACTGATAGGTGGCACTGATGAGGAGGCACTGGTAGGTGGCACTGATGGGCATTGACAGGCATC